GCTTTTGCACCCTGTAAGTAGTAAGACTTTCTAATTCATTTTCTAAAATAGAGGCTGAGTCCAAAGACCTCTCTCTCCGCTATAATCTCTTCCAGCTACGAATTTCCATAATCTTAGCAGTAGAGGATGTTCTATCACCTCTGTCCCTTGACTCCATTCTTTACAAGTTGTGATGTGTGTGTATTTTTCACACGTTCCCCGGGGTTTTTCAGTTAATTTGGTCATTCTGGGGGTGTACAGGAAAGGGACCAGGCTGAGCTGGCTATCTGAGTTAGGGAGAGTGTTTCTTCACTATGGTGAGGTTGCAGGGTATGTGTATGAGGGGGTCAGCAGCAGGGAGGTGAAGGGATGGTCAGTGGAGCCTCAGAACTGATGAGGTACAAGGTCACCAGCCTGAAGCCTTGGCGAACTGGGCTCTAGTCCTTCCTCTACACCTAACAGGTGTGACACTATGGACAAGTCAATAAACTACTCTGGGTCTGTTTCCTCACCTGTAAAATATGGGAGTGACATTGGGGAGGATTCTATGGTCCCTCATCAATAGGTCTCTCAAGATAGACTAGGAGCTGCTTATGGTGAAGCTATGCTTTCCACATCTTCATAGTCATGCTTCCTGGGACAGGGTCTGGTACATAACTGGGTCAGTTAGGTATACATTTGGCTATAAGTAACAGAAACCCACTAATAGTGGGACACATTGAGGTTTATTTTCTCCTATTACAAGAAGAATAGAGCTGTGCTGGTGCTGGCTAAGGTGCTCAGTGACGCACTTTTTTCCCTTTAGTTTTAATTTAATTTAATTCAATTTAATTTAATTTATTTTTTCAAGGAAGTGTTTGAGGACCTAGGATCTTTTTATCTTTCCCCTCCTCCATCCTGTACATGTTGGTTTTTTGTTCTCATTCTTGTCAACTCATAGTCTCAAGGTAGCTGCCACATTGTTCGCCTTCCAAGCCATATTCAAGGGCAAACGAAAGGGGACAGAGTTGGCACCAACCATTTCTGTCCCTTTTACAATGAAAGTAAAAGCTGCCTTTTACTTGCATTATAAAAACCCACATCTTGTTATGTCTCATTGGTTATAACTAGGTCACATGACCACCACGAGCTGAAAGTGATGCTGGGAAAGTAAGTGTCTGGTTCCCCAGCTTCTGTAGTGGGAGGCCGCAAGGAGAGGGGTAGATGTGGCTATGGGCTCCACAGATATTTGAAAATAAATATGACTAGAAAGTAAACTGAAAATGCTTCTCTTTTTGCAAGTGGAATGTGCCATGCAATTATTTTGAGGAAATCAGTACTACAATGGCTATGCGTTTAGGTGATTCATACTGCCATCTTGTTTTTATATGGTAGAGCAGGAATGACTTGAGCTTTCTCTAACAAGTACAGGAAGTGGAACTGGAGGTAGGGTCAGAGTACATGAAAAACTTAGCTGGGAGGGATTTCACTCTAGTGCTTTCCTGAGAGAATGAACATGTTACACACACTCACCTTCCGGCCAGGAAAGGCACTGCTTTAATGTCCTACCATTGGTCATTCTCCTCACATGGCCAGCCAAGTGTAACCAGTTAAGAAGTTCCTGGTTCTGACTGTTTTTGTTTTTTTTTAATGTTATTGGGGAACAGCCATGGTCATTGGTTACACATTGCTTTCATGCTACAATGGCATAGTTGACTCTTTTCAGGGAGGGCTGCAGCTCACAGTGGCCTATGCGGGGATCAAACCAGCAACCTTGGTGTTATCAGCACCTCGCTCTAACCAACTGAGCTAACAGGTCACCCCTCACCCCTCTCCCCTTTTTAAAAATTTTCTGATTGGTTTTTATTACCTTCTGATTTAAACATATTGCTGTCACATTAGAATGGAAGGGTCACATGTGCATGGGAGAAAGGAAAATTGCCAGAATGTGATATGGACACAGAAGGCAATCTCTCTTTTTCACTGAGGAAATGTGTTATTAATACGAATGAAAATGTGCATGTACATTGCTTAATCAGTGCCTGGCACACACAAGGCACTTACTAAATGTTAGATGTTATTGCTTTATTATTATTAATAAGAATGATGCTTCTTTTCTCCCACCCGCCTTGCCAAAAAAGATCTCTTTTTCCCCATATTTGCAAGATGTGTTTGGACAAAAATACAGGAGCCAAGATTGACTCATGCAGTTCCCTGGCTCCACTTTCACTTCCCAGGGGAGTTTCTGGAAGAACCTCGGATGGGCAAGACACACTTGAAGTTTTCTCGGATGTGTTTGAAGTACTCTGGTTGGGGAAACAGTCATCACACAGAACCCAGCCTTTCAGGGAAGCAACCTGAAACCCTAATTGTTGCTTTCAAAAATTTTCCGCTTTTGAAACCACTTTAGTTTTTGGTAGAATTGAATTCTGTCAGTTTTCTGAACATGGTGAACAGGAAGCTGTTTACAACTGGTGTCTCTGTATAAAAGAAGTCCAAAGTTCTCTAGCAGAGATCTCTTCTACGTAGGAGTACTTTTGCCTGTCTCTCCTAATACAGCTGCTTTACAACACTCAGTTGATTTTCTGTTGTATTATACTTTAACAGGTATGGAAAGAGTGGGAGGGAGGCCAGTGGTTCAGTGCAAGGTAGTCACTGATGTTACAGAGATAACTACGGTGTGTAAACTCACCTGTTGTTTCTTTTCTTTTATCTCCTGTTTAGGCTGTGAGGTAACGAAGTATAATGATTATAGGGCTGGGATTAGGAATCAAAGTCTTGAGTTTAAATCTTGATTTTGCTATTATCTAGCTCTTCATCTTTGGGCCAATTACTTATTCTTTCCAAATCTTGTTTCCTTTTCTACAGAGCAAGAAAATTAATAGCCATACCATAAAAGCCTTGCAAGCACTAAATAAAATGCTATACAATAAAGTGTTTTATAAAGCATTCAGTTGCCAGTTCAGACAACCCAACCCAAACAACTTAAACAAAATGAGAATGTATTGACCCTCATAATGAAGAGTTGGAACTTCAGGCATGGCTAGATCCAGGACTCAAACATTGCCGTTGGGTCCAGGTTTTACCATACTTTTATTCCACTTCCCTCCACATCGGCCCTGTCTTCAGACAGGTTCTCCCTTAGTGGGAAAAGGTGGCTGCAAGAACTCCAGTCTTCTTCCTCCAGTTCAAGTCCAGTGGGAAAGAGAGGATACCTCTCTTCCAACGGTCCCAGAAAAAGTGTCTTTCACTGGCTCTGAATGGATTATCTTGGAACCAAAGCAACATTGTGATTGGCCACAAGCCCACCTCTGGAACAAGGGGTGGAATCAACACCCCCTGCATGGACAGAAAAATGCAGTGGTTTCCAAGAAGGACATTGAGGTGCTACTACAAAGGAAGGGGAAATGGATGTTGCTAAGGGTGAGAAAAAAGGCGAATTTCCTCTAGAAGGCTATAAAAATGAAAGAGAATATGGACTTTCACACCACTCCTAAAATACCAATGGTGGTCTTTCTGGAAGCTTAAAAGAAATAAAATTAGGTTAAATGGAGAAAGCACCACTTGATACAATGGTCAAGAACTTACATAGTTATTATTTCAAGAACTGAATGAAAGTACAGATTTTTTTTTTCAATGGGATGAAAGATTCACAATGAGAAACCACAACGCTGTGGGGTGGGGGTGGGGAGGAAGGCGGCATCTGGAACTCTGAAAAGTCAATAGTTGAGGAAAACTACACTCATCAGCAGAAAGCAGAGGAGCAAGGATTGAGCAGATGAGGCTTGGGTTTTCAGTGAGCCAGAAGGATGGATGGTTGGGCAGGGGGGCTGGAGTCTGAGTTCCCAGAAGTTTTCATCTTATCTTCCAGAATGGCTGCCCCCCAGACAAAGGTCTTTAGTTTGAGTTCTTCCTGCCAAGCAGTGGTTCCCAAACCTGGCTGCTCACTAGATGACCCGCTTTTTAAACAGATAATTCCAGGAAGCTCCTGCTGGCAATTGATTCACTCCGCCTGGGGTGGGGCTCAGAAATTTGGATTTTGAACAAGTCTCGTCTGCAGCCAGGACTAATGTTTGGATCTCTAGAGGCCCCGTCCATCCCTCCCCAGTTGTACTCCCCACTCTGTAGTGGATGGATCTGTCGACACCACTGTTCCTTCCCCAGAGTATGAACCCGCAGAAGACAGGGACTCATGCAGCTTTGGGTACCTGGCACACAGTATACAGTACTTGGCGTGCAGTAGCACCCACTAATGTTTGTTGAAGGAAGGCTGGAGGACACACAGGCAGGCAGGTAAGCAGCCTTTTCCCATATGGGCTTTGCTGGGAAAGAAAAACTTCTATTTCTGGCAGAAGCTGCTGTGAAAGAGAAAAGATCATGGCAGCAAAGGAAAAAAAATGCCACTAGGGAAGGAATCGGCTCAAGGTTCCCCAGACCACATACTCTTTTAAAAGACTCCTCCATAACTTTAGTAAGTGACAACAACGGTGATGATGACGATTTATGACAGCCACCGTGGGCCAGGCACCAGTTAGCATTCTATCCCCATGTTACAGATGGGGAAAGAAAGGCACAGGGAGTTGGTGCAGGAGCACACCATGAGGAGAGGACACAGCTGGGACTCGGCAGCCTGAGCATGTAACTGCTACCCCACCTGCCTCTCACCTCTCCCAGGTGTGGCAGCACAGTTCTGAGAAAACATCATGCATATCTGTCAGGGGCTCATTTCCATCGTAGAAGTGTCCAGCAAAATAAGTCAATAGCCGAGGAAATCGGGGGAGAGCAAAGGGCCTCTCAAGAAAGAAACCATTGTACACCTCTCCAAACAGGCTATTTTCTGCCTAGTTTTTATTCTCTTGCTGCTGTGTGCTGAAGGTCACTGGCTACGTCTGCACAAATCGGTGAAGTCACGACAAGGAAGACTTGGCCAGGGATCCCGGGGCTGAGGGAGGCGGAGACTGAGGAGAAGGGCGTGAGGCAATTCAACAAGGCCCAGCCTGGCCTGCTTTCCCTCCCGAACTGGCCCAATGACCTTCTTGCCTCAGGGTGACCACTCCCCTGGGCTGACTTTCCCACACACCCACAAATAGCCCAGCCTCAGGAGTCAGCCTGCATTCCTGCAACCGACTGGCTGGGTCCTGCTCCCCACTTCTCAGGCAGCAAAGCTCTCTTGGAAGAGCTGGAAAGGTGAGTGCCATTTCGTTCTTCCTAGAATGTGTTTCTTATACATTTGAAACCAGGGTGGGGCCATCAGGCCTATTCTTGGAAAAGTATTTGATCCTCTTCTTGAGACAGAAACACACTTAATGATGGAGCCTGGCTGCTCTGAGGGGATGAGTGGGGAGGTGGGAAAGGGGTGAGGAAGGCCATGGGGAGAAATCGCTGTTCTTCTCTGGATCTGCAGACGCCAGTCTGAGAGGACTATAGTGTTAGGAAGAGAAATCTGAGGGAGGAAGGCGGCCCTTTCTGCATGTTGCGTGGCTTGGGTGGTGGGAGCTACTGAAGAAAGCCACCTGCTCAGGGGAGGCAAAGAGGGGAGGGCCTGGCAGCTCAGGCTCACAGCCAGGCTCCTTCTAGGAGGGAGCCAAGGAATTAGAACACACCAGACGCCAGGAAGGCTGCCATCTTCTCAGATCCAGACCCGGGAAGGAGGCACACACTCCGTGGCCTCCTTTGTCCCCTTTCTCTGATAATCTTTCTTCCTTTCCAGACCAGGCACACAGCAGGCCCTGAAACAAACCACTTGGTCATCCGCAGCTCACACGAAGGGGGAGACTGTCCAAGAAGGATGAGCCTTATGTGGGCTGGCCTCAAGGGACCAAAGCCAAAACGCTTAAGAAACAAGGAGTCAGAGTATACCTGGGAGAATGTCCTTTGTGTTAAAAGAAAAACATTTCCATAGCATGTTAATTATTACCCAAACGTTCCTGAAAAAGAACAATCTGTTTTTGCTCCATGTTTTTAAGGGCGAACTTTCCCATTGGCAGAGGCCTCCTGAAGGGCAGGATGGCCTCGGAAAGAAGGGGGTGGTCCCTGGTGAAGGACAGCTTGAGGCCCAGGCCTGGCGGGGGATGGTCCCCATTCCCTCCTGCAGCCACTTCCTGGGGCTTCAAAGTAGCAAGCCACACCAGGCCATGTCAGAAGTGGTTCCCTTGATGTCACTTTCTGGGCTGCTCCTTCTACCTGTGATTCTTCGGAGCCTTTCCTAGGCTTCTCCTCCTTCCGTAGCTTCAATATCATCTCTCAGCTAATGGGCCTGAAATCTCTGTCAGTAGTTTGTCTCCGATCGCTAAGAAAAGAGCTGTCATTTACTAAGAACTTTCTAGGTGCTCTAAAGGAGAGCTGTTCGGTGTGGTGTCTAAACCTGGGGCTTGGTTTCCAATCTTGCTCTCAGCTGCTATAGAATGTGTAACCTTGGGCAAGATACTTGCCTCTCTGTGCCTCGGTTTCCCCATTCTTCAGAATGGGGGTAACAATAACACCTACCACACAGGGTTCTTGTGAGGCTCACATGAGTTAACACATGCCAAGTGCTTTTAACAGTACCTGGCACGTGTGTTCAATAAATACTAGCAATCCTAATTGTTTCTTCTAAGCCTCTCAACAAGCCTCTCAGGAAAGGGTTATTATTCTTATGTGCAGAGAAGAAAACTGAGGCTCAGAGGAGGTGGAGCCTGACTAGAGGTTGCAGTCCAGCGTTTTCTCTGCTACTCTGCAATAAAAATAACAATAACAGCCAACCCCGAGAAAGTAAGTGGCAGAGTCAGTTAGGCTTCAGATCTAGGCAGCGAGTTTCAGAATCCATTCTTTTAATCACCCTGCTAGATTGCCTTTCTGTAACAGTTCTGGAAAGAATAAATACTCAACCCTGGCATTGACTTTTAGAATGGCACTTGCTTTGGGGTTGGAGAAGGCCTTCAAATGTGCAGGTGACCATCAAACCAGTTCTTTGGAGCCAGCACTGATCCCTGTGGGCAGACTTACAAATGTGGAAATAGCCTGGCATATAATATCTTATTTAATCCTCACCGTGATGCTCAGTGGTATTACTGGTCTTATTTTACAAGTAGGTAAGAGGAAGTCATTCCTACTCTCACGATGTCACAGTAATTGTATGGGCTTGGGATGCGAATCTGTGTCTGACTCTAAAATTGCCAGCTGGGTTCCAGAATGTTTGATGGAGTTTTTTGTTTGTTTGTTTGTTTGTTTTTTTAAAGTTCCTGCCCATTGAATCAGAATCTCTTAGGGCAGGGCCTGGGCCTGTGACTTTTAACAACCAGAATCTGATTGATGTGCAGCCAACACTGAGAACACTTCCCAGCTACGCTGCTTCTTCCAAGTGCCACAGTCACATTTCCAACCATCTGCTGAACGTCCCACCTGGACACTCACCAGCATCTCCCCCTTTTCCTTCTTCTCAGGGCCGGAGGCCGCCATCCATGCACCCAGTCTCCCATGCTGGGAGGGGAGACTCCCAGCTGCTCCCCTCAACTGCTCCCCTCCTTCCCTCCTGCCAGGCCACAGTGTCTCCCCAACCCATGCCCTCCTCTGCCTGTGCTGCCTTCACCTTGGAAAAACCCTTCATCATTGCTGGTTTGGGTTATTGCAACAGCCTCCTAATTCATCTCCCTCTGACTGTCTCTATTTTTCCTTCTCTGTGTCTCCATCTCTCCCTAGGCTATTCCCATTCCTTCTATACTCTCCATCCACAAAGTCCAGTCCACATCCTCTCTCCTGCCAGACTTAGGGAACTAAATAAAAGCTATCTCATCACCCACTTTTCTGCTTAAAAACTTCCACCGGCAAAAGCCTCACAGCTAATATCCACACTTAGCACAGCAAACCCAGCCCCTTGGTCCCTGGCTCAAAGTTCCCTCTGGAGCTTCGACTTCTCCGGGGTGACACAGGCCATGTTCTAGTCACACTGATTTTCTACCCCATCCCCCAAACAAGCTGTGTCCTTTCACAGCCAGTGAACTTGTCACGTTGTGCCTCTTGCCTAAAATGGGCTTCCAACCTGGCTAGGCAGAAAAACTACTTGTCTTGTGGGACCCAGCCCAAAAGTCACCTCCTCCGGAAACACCCTCCTGGAATTCCCCAGAGAGAAAGGCACTACTTCCTCTGCCCTTCCCTAGTACAAGGCTCCATCTGCAATCACAGGGTGGAATTGGAATGATTTGTTGACATGTCTGTCCCTCAGTGAACTCCTCATTCAACAATCATATATTAAATGTCTCCTACTGCCAGGTGTGGGTCCAGGTGCTGGGGACACTAATGAATAAAACAGAGTTTCTATCGTAAAGTCTACTGAGCATGGCACAGAAGAGGGGATAGGGAACTTCAGAGACAGGGCAGAGCGTGCACAGAGATGAAGAAGACAGGGGTAGCAAGTCTTACACAAGGAGGATGCTTCAAGAGGGAGGCAGGGGATGAGGCCGGGACATGAGCAGAGGGAGGTCTGTAAGGGCCATGAGATTTCCCCTGTGTGCTCTGAGACCCCCCCCCCGCCCCCACACACCAATTGCCCTGAGGCTTTTCACGCATAAAGATAGGATTTGCGAGGACCATGATCAGATTTGTGGATCAGAAAGATCCCTGCAGAGTTTCTTGAGATTTTTCTGTCATCCATTTTTAAGAACACAGCAGTTAACGCAGTTCCCGGAACACAGCAAGTCTTAGAGAAACATGGGCTGAAAGAACAAGTGAATGCGCGCTGGGCGAGGACGCCCCTTGGCGGGGATGGGTTAGATCCAGCGACTTGGGGTCTCTGAGATCCCCTGTCTCTAAAGACTAAACCAAGTTCCGCCCCCACCCCCGGGGGTGCCCGCAGGTGTCCGACTCCAGCCATGCTGCCGCTGCTGTGCGCCTGCTTGCTCTTGGTGGCCGGCGCCTCGGGCGGCTCAGATGTGTCCGACGCCAGTTGCAATATGGAGGAACAGATCCGCGACCTGCAAGCCAAAGTGACGGAGATCTTGCAGGTGGTGACCGGGCAGCGGGCGGCGGGCGGAGGCGGCCCGGACGCCACGCTCCACGCCTCCTGCCACGTGCGGCCATCCTCCACTCTGGACGCCGCGGCGCCCCAGGTGACCGGCCTCGTGCTCTTCCGGCAGCTGGCGCCCGGCGCCCGGCTCGAGGCCTTCTTCGAGATGGAGGGCTTCCAGGCCGAGCCCAACGGCTCCAGCCACGCCATCCACGTGCACCAGTTCGGGGACCTGAGCCAGGGCTGCGACTCCACCGGGCCGCACTACAACCCGCTGTCCGTGCAGCACCCGCAGCACCCGGGCGACTTCGGCAACTTCGCCGTGCGCGACGGCGGTCTCTGGAAGTACCGCCCCGGCCTCGCCGCCTCGCTCAGCGGCCCATACTCGATCGTGGGCCGCGCCGTGGTGGTGCACGCGGGCGAGGACGACCTGGGCCGCGGCGGCAACCCTGCCAGCCTGGAGAACGGCAACGCTGGCCGTCGTCTGGCCTGCTGCGTGGTGGGCTTGTGCGGCCCCGCGCCCTGGGCGCGCCAGGCGCAGGAGCACGCGGAGCGCAAGAAGCGGCGGCGAGAGAGCGAGTGCAAGGCCGCCTGAGTGCGCTCCATCCTGCAGGCGGCGGGCGGGGGAGCCCTGAGGTTCCTCAGCCCCCTTCCACGCCGCGACACCCCTCCGAGCGCCCCAGGCCCCGACCCCACCTTGACTTTCTCCCTCCGCGCCCAGAGATACCTCCTACCCCCAGGGTCTCTCCCTTCTGCCATCGCTGAGGTCTCCCCCCCAAATCCCTTCCGCCCTGAAGTCTCCAACCATTTATGCTGAGGCGCCACCCCCTATCTAGAGGGCAGCCCTCACCCTTGGAGCACCCCCCCACACACCCCCAGCTCTGAGAACCTCCCTTACACATCTACCATATACGCCACCTACCCTGAGGGTCTCCTAGACTCTTGAGGTCCCTTTCCACCCTGACACCCCTGCCCTCATCGCATGAGACCTGAGATACCTCTATGCCCTAAGGACCCAACTTCCCCACCCTTTAGGATCCTCCTAGGTGCTCCTGAAGCTGCCTGGGGTCCTCCCACCCCACCCATGATTAATATGTGCTCTGCAGTTAGGCGCTGATGCCCACAGCCTTCAGCTGTTTCTCGTCCCCGCCCCCCTGCAGAGGGCAGCTCCCCGTTGGGGGCTGTTTGGCAATCTTCGTGTTGCTCATTAAAAACTCAGCAACTCAGTACTGCATCAGGGCCTCGGTTACCTTTTTTGTTTGTTTGAGGCTTCTCTCCTGGGCTCAGTTACTATTTGGAAATAGCAAAGATATTTCCCAAATCCTGCTAAGGACTTCTTATCCTTCTCCCCAATTCTGCTGTCAACCATGTTTAAGTCACTGATTGTCGTGGGAAGTGAGAAAAAAAAAATCAGCTTCCTGGGCTACCTCCCAGAGCTGTGGTACCCAACAGGAGAGAAGGAAATCTATTTCCAATAAGCTTCTGGTGATGCTGACACGAGAGCCACTGGCCTGGCCTGAGGTGAGTGCCAACTTATCTGGGCCCTGTGGCTTCTCACATCTTCCTCTCAGTGCAGCCTGAGGTCCATTTCCCAGATGGCAAAGACAGGGCTAGTGAAGCAGCGTCCCTGGGCAAGTTACAGGGAGGCTGGTGTTGGCGTCTGAAGTTATCAGCCTTCTCCACAACCAGTAATGCTTCTCTTCTTGACATGAAGGCCGTTGGAAGCAGAGGGGTCCAAAGGCAGGCTGATGTTGATTGAAGGCTTGTTGGTGTGTCAGCCTCTTTTTGAAAATTCTAATCTACACACAAACTAGGTCAGTTTTGTGTATCCACCTTCACTTACTGAATAAAAGTATTCATAATAATAACTTTTTAACCTCCTGGGCAGACCCAGTTCATAGCTGCGGCTTCTCCACCCTGGTTACGTGGATGCAGCTTCCATTTCTCCCAGACCTCCTAAGGCGGTGAGTCAAACGGAACCTGTCAGAAACCCATCCCCAGTGGTAATTTTTACCTCTTCCAGGGACTAACTTGTTACTGAGAAATCTTCACTGAAACCCAAGCAATCACTGGAGAGAAAGGCTATTGCCTAGTAACTTTGCTCCACCAGCAGGTTCCCACTGGTTTGAAACATGAACTTGAACTGTACAGGTCAGCACTGAAAGCGAATTATCAAACTGAGTCTTGAAACATCTTGATCTCAAATAGATACATTTGCCTATCTCCACAATTAAAAGTTGTGAAACAAGGCAGCAATTACAGAGGGACACACAATGGAGAGGAGTAAAATACCAAATGTGCCATCTTCGACTCTGCTGCCCAGATGACAGGTTAATTCAAGATCACCAAGAGAGATTTGGACTTATTTGTCAGAAGGGGGCTGGTATGTCTCATCATGTATCTTTTGTCTTAGTCCATTTGGGCTGCTATCACAAAATACCACAGACTGGGTAGCTTAGAAACGACAGAAATTTATTTCACAGTTCTGGAGGCTGGAAGTCCAAGGTCATGGCATCAGTATGGTTGGGTGAGAGCCCTGTTTGGGGTTCAGAGATGATGATTTTGCTGTGTCCACATGGGGTGGGAGGGGCGAGGGGTCTCTCTGGAGCCTCTTTTACAAGCCACTTATCTCATTCATGAGGGCTCCCCTTCATGACTTTGGGACATCCCGAAGGCCTCACCATCTACTGCCAACATCTTTGTGCCTTGGGATTTCAATATATAAATTTGGGGGGGACACATTCAGACCATAGCACCTTCTGTTCTTAGATTCTTTCTTCACTACCCTCAGTCTCCCCCAAACGAAAGAGATACCCTAGCAGACCCACTCCTTTGTATTGTTTATTAATGGGAACTCTATTGATAAACTCCATTCTGTGGGGTTCCAGAGCCAAGAAAGAGAGAGGAAATAATAGGAGGACAAATTACAGTTCACTGTCAGGACAAAGGAATGCATATAGCATGGTGGTTGACAGCTCAGGCTCAGGTAGGAGGCATGTTTGGAACCCCAGGACTGCCAAACTTACAAGCTGTGTGACCTGGGCAATTGACTTCACCTCTCTGGGCCTGGGTTTTCTCATCTGTTAAATAAGACTATCCAATTGGATTATTGTGAGGATGGAATCTAGTGCTATTCATCAGAGGTGTACAGCATAGCAAGAAGACCTAACGATCTAATAAGTGTCTAATTAATAACAATGGCTAAGGTCAGAAAAATGCCTACATAAGAATGGACTGGACTGCTTTGTAAGGTAGTGAGTGTCATGCAACTAGAAGGATTCAAATAAAGAAATGGTTGCCACCTCTTAGGTTTGTAAGAAGGAATTCTGCATCCATTAAGAGGCTGGCTGAGAGAAACTCTGTGATCCCAGCTCTTGGGGGGAGGACATCTCAGATGAAGAAAAGATTGTGGGCCATAAATGCAGACATCTGGTTCTTGGCACAGAACCTGATGTGTGCCACCAAATGTGCCCTTTGGACCCCACTTGGCCCCTGGAGGCTATTTTTACCCCTTTCCTCTTACAAATCTATTTTGTTAATCTCTTTACACTTGCTGTTTTGAGTTCCCAGCCAGCTTGCTAATCAGTTTGCCTATTTGACTCACAGGGTTTGCATTTGTCACTGAGACTTAAACACACACTTGTTTTGATTTCTTTTTGTAAAATTAGAAGCGTTTGATGTAATGACCCTACCTAGATGCAGCTGGTGAAGTGAGAATAATGCTCAAGTTTGCACAGTTTAAACACAATGTAGACAATAATTAGAAATGCTATCTTTAGATGTTTAGGATAAGCTTTTTCTCAGAATTGCAGTGAAATTTTTTCTGCATGGGGCTTTTCAGTGCATATATATATATATATATATATATATATATATATATATATACAGAAATACTAAAAACGTTAAGAAAATAGAGCAAATCAGTGAATGCTTTGGTCAACTTGAAAGACTACAGGAAATAAACCAACTGATTTTAGATCTGGTGCTTTTGACTGAATGCATAAAATCTTTACATTCTCCATAATTTTCATGACTAGCATATGATCTAATAATTTTAGGTGACAGATTGTAACTGTGAAGTTGCTACAATATGCTAGAAGGAATGCTTAGTCGTTGCCTGGCCTGCAGTGAGGGTGGAGAGAGAGAATGACCCAAATAATAAAGATAATTAATCGTCTCTAACAGGAAAAATTACCACATTTTTATTTCAGGTAGCTAAAATGATATAGTTATGATACATGATGATCATATAACCTGATAGAACAATGTCTGCAAAGGAATAGAAGTTACGTCTTTCTTTAAACTACAAAATAGCAACTGGCTTGCTTTTATGTATTTATTTTTTTCAGCCAATTGTTTTAAATTTAATAGGCTATCACTGGCCTCAGCTAAGTTCCCAAAATATATTCCTGGGCTCACATAGATTCCAGAAAGTCAAACTTGTCAGTATTATGCTAACATTCCCTATGTATCTAAAAAAAAAAAATTCTCATTTAGTAAAAAGGTGGAATGAAATGTGCGGCAGCACATCAATATCTATCATTTTAAATTGCCTTCATGCTGTATCAACTTGTTTTATTTTTGTGAGCAATCATAATATCGAGAGACGGGCCCTTCTTAGTTTTCCTGCTTCTCATTTTTAATTAGATTCAACTCCTGAGCTCTCTGTTGCATCTCTCTGATCTTCAAATTTTTCTCTGTTCAGAAAGACATCTGGAAAAAAAGGGAATATATTAAAGTAGCGAGTTAAGGGGACTCCTTTAGCTTTTTGATATCCTAGGATACCCTCAATATTATTAAGGAGGAGGATTGTTCTAAATGCAGGCTTCCAGAATGAAAGCAGGGGGCAGAGGGAGAAGGTGCTCCCATGGAGAACGCTTTCAAAGAGAAGCAGGGTACCAAGCAATACGCAGGGTTACAGGAAAACGGTCAAGCCGGGAGAAAGTCCCACTTTTTGGAGGAGCAGAAAACCAAAAGGGGCAAAGGCATGCTGTAACTTCAAAGAGGGGAGATAACTCCAAGGAACTAGTAGCTGGTCTTTGAAATTCCTTACAGAGGGGATTGAACCTTTTCTGTCGCATGGTGAATTGGGGTGCAAATGCTCCCGTAGGAAGAACACATCTGAAAATGCACTCCAACATGGGAAGGACTGATACCAGAACCCTATTTTAGAACTTCACATGATGATGGTGGTGTGTGTGTTGGGAGAGAGGGCACAGAAGAGGAACAACGATGGGAAAACGAGTTTAGCTTACTTAAGAGGGCCAACTGGGAGGCGGCTCCAGCTGGGATGAAGTGGAAAGCCATCAGGAGCCTCCCAACCAGAGAGGCTTGGGGACGAGCTGTGCAGGGGAAGGAGAAATCGGGGAGGGAGTGGGGAGGAAGCCGGGCAGAGGAGGCTTGGAAAGGAAAAGAGTTAGGGATGAGAAATGCCTGGTTTACAAAACCCAATCCATTTCCACAGGCCTTAATTAAAAGAACGACAAACACTCATACGTAAAAATCCTCACCTAAAGGCTCTCAGGTACGGAGCAATCACAAGAAATGCAGTGTGTGCAAACAAGCTTTCATTAAGAGACCTGTCAGCTCTGTTTCATTTATCCAGACTGTTCTGCGTTCGGCTGGCAACCGAGCTGGAAAAATAATAGAAGGACAGGCACACTCGAAGGGGTAAACAAAGGTGGGAATGTTCCAGCTACAAAATGGGACAGATGATAAAGAAGCCAGGGAAGAGGAGATGAGATGGCGTTTTTCTTAACTAATAAACCAACAAACAACAACGACCACCCCTCCCCCAACTCCACACTCATCAGTAACCTAATATTCTGGCTTTTTAAAGGAGAAACAAATCAAAAACAGATGTGGGGTTCAGAGACAATGCTGTTGGTGGCTTACTCAAATCTATTTTCACCCCTCCTATTCTCCTCAAGACCTGATTTTGTTTTGGTGTTTACCCTTTTAGAGTCTGCATGTCCAGGGACAGGGCCCCTCCCCAATTCAGAGTGGGATCTTGACAAACCTAAATCCATCACATAATTTCATCACCCTTGCCAGGGATTGGTTTAGACATAGTCATGTGACAATTCTTACCAATGAAATGTGACAAGAACTGGGTGTTTTTCTCTTAAACACACACACACACACACACACACACACACACACACACACACATGCATGTGCCTGTGCATACACACACGGGGAGAAACTTCCTTCTGCTTCTGAACACAGGTGTGAGAGGAGGTGATGCCTGGAGCTGCTGCAGCCACCTTGTTAGCTTGAGGAAGTAGCTAACACTGAGGTGGGCAGAGCATAAAGACAGAAACCCAGATCCTTAATGGATTTCTTGAATGCACCGGCCCTGGCTAGAATGCCCTACGTCTAAAGTTCTTGTTCTGCAATATGATTCATTTCCCTGTTGCTTAAGTTTCTTAAAGTGTGAATTACAGCTGAGAATACCTGAGGCAGGCCCATCTGGTGAAGTAGGGGAGAGAATGCTGCACACTTTTCACAATGACTCTGAGAAAGACAAAAGAAAACCATTGTAATTGCTGAAACTCTCTTTAATGTCTGTGGACCAGAAGAACTGTGTTTGGTTGGGATAGCAGAGATGGGACAATGTCACGTGTATGAATGTGACAGAATCAATTCATTGGTTCCAATGCCATTGAATAACACAAAATCCTCCCAGGCTGATGGAACACAGTTTAGGTTATCGCTCCCTATCACCTCCCTGCCCCGACCCCCAGACTCTCTGGTGCTCACGGCAGGTTTCCTGTTCATGATGGAATGTGTTGGAGTGTATTATAAGCCCTGCTTTCCAGAAGGTGATGAACAGGCCCTAAAGATGTGCACCTGGCCGACTGTATGTCAAAACCAGAGCTTCTGAGGGGAGAGAGTTTTCTTTTTATTATTATTACATTAAATCTGGCTGCATTTTCCTTTGGTGGCTCTGGTGTCCTATGCAGTAGTGTTGTTGAACATTTGCAGACAGTTAAGGCCTCGTGCAGCAGGAACGTTATTTCTATGGCTGCTGGGCTGTACACGCTTTGCAGCTGCAGAAGCGGCCTCCCTCGAGGCGAAGTTGAGGGGATGGGTTTGGGGAGGGGGAGACGCTGGAGCACAGAGGGAGGAAGGGGGCATTGGGGCCTGGCAGGCAGGGGCCAGTGGTGTGTCCAGCTCACCAGGACTCGGGCACGATCCCATTTCTCCTGTGGGATTGACCTCTGCTGAGTGGCAAGCAAGCTGCTGGAGTGCGCATGCAACGAAGGACTGGACCTTCCTACTTGTCTGCGCTTTCCCCTCATTCAGCGTGAGCCAGTGCTCCTATGCTAGCAGAGAGGTGCCAGGAAATGCAACGTGGCGGGGAAGTTCGGGGTGAGCTGGCCACCCATGTGCGCGTTTCACACCTGGGATCACAAGCCTGGTATAAACAGCCAATGTTTAGGATGAATTTTCAAGCCTTCCCACCTTGGGAGCCTGTCTTTCTCCTGCAGGAAAGTCCCTCAAATAAATAATTCTGGTTCTCAGGGGTGTTCTGAGCTTTGGGAATCTGGTATCAGGTCTTCCTGGGGGAAATGAACTGAGTTCAGCTCAAAGCAAGGTCTGTCGTTTGATGCGTCTTCAACTTTCTGTGGTGCCAGAAGCTGCCGAGGAAAGCTAATTTTATTCCCAGGGCAAGAGCCAGGTAGGGTCGACGACCACTCCCTCCCTTTCCCACTCTTGGAGCGAGTGCTTGGTTCCCCGGTCCCCCTTACCTGGCTGTGACTAAGTTATTGGTTCTCTTCTCTTTTTCCACTCTAGGGCCACAAGCTCTGTGTCTTGTCTTTAAAGCCCCTGTTCCTGGCTGCACAGAAGAGGCAGCCTTACCATTCTGTTGGAGGAGGGAAGGGTTCTCGGTGTCAGGTGGTAAGGGAAACTGGATTGGCCTTAAGCAGCTGTATGTTGCCCCAACCCCACATGGGCATCACGCCTTATATGTAGCACAGGTGGAATGAGAGGAGCAGCATTTCCAGGTTCTGGTCCTCATCTCATCTCAGAAACAAAAATGAAAACAGCCCTGGAGTCCCGCTTCCTCCCATCTTCTCCCCACATCAATCCAGGTCGATTAATCCTCCAGAATTATAGGCTGGAAAACTCAGCGCTAGCCGTCAGCACACAGGTCTCCACAGGGGCTGTGGATTTCATACCGGAAGCCCAACCTTCTGAGCCTGCCTAAGCCCCTTTCCACCTGCCAGTCGGTGCCATGACAGACAGTGCTGCAGGCAGGATGCCAAGAACACCCATGATGGGAGGTCCTACCGGGCCCTGACATGATGAAGTGTAGCGGTGGGCCCTGTGGACCCATTATGCTCAATTACACCTTTCTCTCCAGCCGCCTAACCGTTCCAAAGACAGAGATCTGATTAAAAAATCCCATTCGTTTCAAGCTCTTCCCATAATTTTGATCGACAACATTAAACGCTAATAGAATAACATCTTATCTCTAATAAAGCAAATGCTGACAGAAAGACGGATGCCGCAAACCAGCCATATGGCGGACACGACTCCGTGCCTGCCCATGTTCACAGCAGTGCCTCTTCGGCAGAAAAGAGATGACACTGAGAAGCTTGAGGACCTGCATTTAATAAATCAAACTGTGCTGGCATCGTCAGAACATTCACAGTTAGCCACAGGATCCGTGTCTTTTTCTCACTGGCAGGCTTAGAGGTGTTTTAGGAGAAAGCGAGTTCTGCGCGCTGCTCTGACGCTTAATTCCTTACCGGGGCCTTCCTTCCACGTGTCACCGTGCCAGGTCCCTTTCCCCCTTCATGTTTTCACCGTGCTCCTTGGGCCTCCACCCTCCTGGGTCTCTTTGCCATTTTCCATGGTAGAAGCTTCGGCTTCGGGCTGGCTGGACTCAAAGGGGTCTTGGCAAGGTTTGGGGAGCTCCGCCTTGGAGGCCGGGCCCAGCAGGGATGGCCCTATCTCGTTCCTCTGACTCTCCACTGGACTCTCTCTCCCGACCCCTTCGGGTTCCACAGCTGCCTGCTCCTCCGTCAGGTTCATTATTTCCCTTCCGAGCCTGTTTACTTCTTCTTCCTCAGAAGGTAACTGGGGTAATGAAGGATGAAAGTGCTTGCGCTGGTTCCTGTGGCTCTGATTTGCTGGGGAGTTGACAGCGGGCCTCCCAGCATCCTCCGGTGCTGTCAACACCTGGGCAGCGGCACGACTTTCATCTCGTGCTTGCTTCTGAGCCTCCCCTGGAACAGACGGAGGACAGCATCAAACCCCTGGCTGGAAGCTAGCCCTCACCTCCTCCCCTCCCCACCTCCTGCCCACTGTCACGGGGCCCCTGAGCTAGCAATGCTTTCAGGCCCCCGCCCCCAACCCCCCCTTGCTGAAGGGGAGCACAGAACTGAAGTTCAAAAAGAAAGCAGCAGGGACTTGGGTGATTACTGTGTCGTTAAGGGGAGGAAACGGAGCACCTGGGC